TAATAATTAAAAAAAAAAGAAAAAAACTAAAATCCAAGGATAATGTAGACATAGAACATTTACGATGGGGTAATCTGTATGGGCAACAAGAATTATGGTGCAAACGGATCATACAAGCCGGTAGATAGGGTGAAGTAATACATAAGACTTGAGATTGACTCTGAGGTTGGTTTGGAGCATACTTGAAAAATCTTGAGTTTGTACTCCGTTGGAGTTTGAGTATGAGTATAATGATTTTTTATAACCTCAATTTTGGAGTACGAGTATGAATTTGGAGTACGGAGTTTGAGTTTGAGTACGAATTTAAACCCCAAAGAGTTTTATAACCTCGGGGCCTGGTCTCCAAATACTACATCGATATTGTCAACCAGAAACTGAAGCATCTTTTTGATGTCAGCTTCAGAGTAGATGTACGTACAATCAGAATGTTTTTAATAACAAAATACTTTTGCAAATGATCAGTGACAAGGTATTTACGAGTTACAATTTTATTGAAAAGGCAACCGTCAATGATATATCACAAACCCTGGAATTAAACCTCTGGTGGGAATGGTTGTATTTAAGCATTGAATTCATATTTTGGGATGTCTTTGGTCCTATGACACACCTGGCCGTGCCGACAAATTGAACACCGCGCGTTAGCGCGGTATGATGATTTGTCCGCACGGCCAGGTGTGTTATAGGACCGAAGACATCCCAAAATATGAATTCAATGCTTATATTTACATTCTTTAATTTTTCCTCTTCATAATTGTTTCTTTCGGTAATCTTTGATGTAAGTTTAGTGCCCTTCAAAACTGATGTGCTTCATAGACGTAAGAGCCGTTTGTGACGTTTGTGACGTCGTAAAGTGAAATAACGCAAACGAACATTGCGAGGAAAGAAAGTGACAAATTAATTTTAAATGCACATTTGTTGTATTTTTACATTAATTCAACAGGGTTATTTTTTTAAAATTAAATTGTGTTAAACAATGTACATTTTGGTGTTCATAAAGTATTGAAAATGCATATTGTTCCTACTGTGTATTCTAAAGCGCGGTGACAAGGTTTCGCGTGTGTTATAGAGATTTGAACGTCATGGATTTCGAATGGATTTCATAAAGAAAATTACACTGAATGTAAATATATGAAGTTGAAAAGTTAGACTTGAGATACACCACAGAGTCTGCTACAACAGCTGATTCGGGGTTTATATTAATTCTGTGGTTGTTAACCTTAAACTTGGTTGAATTTTGTCTTGCGTATTTCATGCCAATTGTAATGCCTTTCTTTTAATGCTAAAGAAATTCAACTACGAATATTTCTTCTGCCTAATCAATACATAAGAAACATGAGGGTGAGGTCTGTGTTTTGGATACTTAATAGTCCAAGACACCTTATCCCACCTCTGAACTTTTCATGAGTCCCGTATTATACCAAGTTCATATAATTGTATTATTGTAATTTTTTAAAAGATAAATCACCTTTCGATACCGTCACTTTTTTCCTTTTAAAAAAAAATAGGTGTAGATATAGAAAGGTGGACTCCGTTCCTAGGTACTTATGGCATTTACTTGTAATTGATTTGGTATTCCGTTAGGATGGTTTGGGGAATTGTTTTGTATAGGCCATAGAATTTATCCACAGGCAAATTATCAGAAATATTATTTGAAAATAGTTATGTAAACTTGCTTGTATCACAGTGACATAGCATCGATTTTGAAAAGTGGGGTATGGAAAGTAAAGAAAATCAACTAAGTTATAAAAAAGCTTTACAAGCAAAGAAAAAGATTGTATTGTATATTGTTTAACGTCCCTCTCAAGAACTTTTCACTCTTATGGAGACGTCACCGTATGCCGGTGAAGGGCTTCAAATTTTGACCTTTACTCGGCACTCAGGGCCATTGAGCAGTGAGGGATCTTAATCGTGCCAACGCCTGCCGCTGACAGGGGGCCTCGGTTTTTAAGGTCTCATTCGAAGGACTCGCAACTTTCACTTCAAAGTGCCGAGCGCATGCCGAAGGAACAGTTGCTACCCATTTTTTATCGACTTAGGTCAGTCGCGGCCGAGATACGACTCACGACCTCCCGACCACGGAGCTAGCGCTCTACCGACTGAGCTACCGTGAACGGTGCAAAGAAAAAGAAGAATATTGTCTAAAAACGAAAAACCTTTTTCATGGAGGGGGTGGGGGTAAAGTGGAACTTCAACTTTCAGGCATACATTTTCTTAATAGAAAACAACATTACCTTTGGTTTACTTTTCTGTAACAAGAAGTTGGGGGTAACCTGTCTTTCAATGAATGTTTTCTATAGTAAACAGCTCTATTTGAAAAATGGGGGCACCCCCCCTCCCCGTTGCGACGTGCCTGGCTAGAGGCGACATCTCTCTACTCTCCGTACGTACACGTTTCTATGAACAATTTTCCTTTTGGATTTTGTGAAACCGGAGGCAAAGTATACGAGTGTTAAACTTGGAGGTAAGTCGTGTATAGATGAGCATTTTATATTTCCAAATCATTCTCTGAGGAATTTTTTTTTTCAAAGTTCAGCTTTACACTTGGTAATCGAATTAGCATAAATTACTATCTTCTTCAGACCTAACTATGCCAAGGACCTGACTCACGTTCAAGTCTCGATATTTTATTTTCATTGTAACAATAATTTTCTATTTGTGATGTTTTAATTGCCTATTCAAAGTCAAAATTAGAAGACATCATGCACGTTATATGAGTGAAATACTTTGAAGGGGACGTTAAACAACATACAATTAATCATATGTTGGTAATTACACGAGTGTTAAGTGTTTCACACTTCATATCTCGTGTAACCTTTTCTTGCCTTTCCTTGATTTATAAAATCATTTCCACTGGAACCACCCTGCAGAACCTATAAAAACAGTCCATGTGTTTAGGCATCATAACACATAGTTGCATCGTGGAAGAAATTTACTCTCCCAAATATTTAATTTATGGCCAGAAAATTCAACTTACTTCATATTTGATGATTACAATTGTCTTTAATATGACAGAAGTTGCTACAAACATAATCCGAATTTTCTCTGTTTTTCTTATTTTTGAAGATATGTTAGGTTTTTTCATATGCTTCCTATATTTGACTCTTCTTTTATATTATTATTTTAACGTAACTATAATAAAGTAGTCTTTTAAGTGTACAAAATGATACAAAAACAAAAAGTTTTGATCGTTTACTAAGAGAGAAAAAATACCGCAGCACTGTTAAGGCTTACAATGAGAAATCAACGGAAAATAGAAGTGCAAAAACGGGTGTTGTTTTTAAAACTTAATTTATTTTTATTCAGCTATTTTATTATAACAGAACTTAATTACTTATGGAAATAGCATAGTATAACCTACTCTGTACGATATGAAGTTTGGCCCCATCGATGGACAGTCACGTGATGAATGCATAGTACGTGTACTGAATGTAGGTCATTAACAAATTTAAATATCGCAAGGGCATACCCTATTTAAAATTAAAAATTCAATCTAGTAATTGTTGCTCTATACTTTGTATTTTCTGGAAAGTGCTGCTGCTTTGAATAGAATTCCCGTTTTTTAAAGTCAAAATTTCAAGTAAATAGGCCCATGTCGAAATATGTTTGACTTTTAACAAATATTTTGTGTACTTGTAAAAGTCAATCTCTCGATTTAAAGAAAGCGCAGCAGCAGTTTCAAGTTAAAGAACATATCCTTTATTCATATTTAAAAAAATGGTTAAGATTTATTTAGTGTATGCCCTTGCGAAAGAACGATTTAATGAGGCACCTCGATGTAAAATATACCTAACTTGAACATTAAAACACGACAAAATTATTTAAATACATCATCTCGATAGTTAATGAATAATCGCACTGAACAAAGGATATACATTGGTATTAATAGCTCTTTAAAACCTGTAAATATAACATTCTGTTTTATAATAAAACGCATTTTTCATTGTTAAAAAATTCCTCAATCTGCCTCTCACAACACATGAAATACGTCATTTTACCAAAATGACGTCATGCATGATTGACAAGTTCATCGAGATCAGTGATCTGTTTGTAACCAGCTGTATCGGATTTTACTAGCAACTTTTTAAAATGCATTGATAATTTTTTATTGTTGTTTATTATGCTAATGCAGTTTAAAGTTGCAAGTTATTTCATTTTCTGGTATTATGAGGAAAACATAAAAGCCATATTTTAGTGTGACGTCACAGTAAACTTTTCCTGTATAAATAAGGCCCCGCCTCCTTATTTCAGCCTTAACAATGCCGCAACTTTTTATAAATTTTTGGCTTAAATCTGTCCTTTGATTGGAAGCGTTTAAAAGCTAGCATGGTTCTACTTTGTTTGAAGAATCGTATTTTTATATATATATATATATATATATATATATATATATATATATATATATATATATATATATATATATATATATATATATATATATAATTTTTTTTGTACCTTTTGATTAATTTAACTTACATTTAAAAATTTCTTCAAGTCTTTGATTGTGTAAAAAATTATAACTAGATTCACTGTTCTAATAAAATTTTGAGAGGCAGAAAAGAAGATATTTTCATACGCCACATTCATTCAGCCAAAAATAAAGTCCCTATTAGTTTTCAAAAGCAGTTTACCATTTCTATTTAAAGTTGTACAATTGTGATGAGGAAAGAAAAATATGGTCTTTTAAATCCCTTACAACTAAATATATAAGACATATAAGCAAATTTACTTTGAATGTTTCATCTAGTCACAAACTAGAGAACAATCCTATCTTAACTTTAAACTGAAGAAAGAATTATTTTTAAAAAGAATTGACAATAAATCCCATTAAATTTAAATGAAATTCACCAGATCATAAAATGATTTCAATGTAAATCTAATATTTTGTCCTTATTATAACAATGTAACATCCTTTCATAAAAATTTCAAAATTGCTCTGAAAATATCTTGATATTTATCAAATATATGTTGTCTACATTTTCCCCACATAATCTTCTGATAACTTGAAGAATAAATGTGATTTTTGTTTACAAAGAAATATTTCAAATTCATTTGTAAACCAATCAAAATAGACGCGACTTGTGATAATCACCTTTTTCACAAGCATATACATAATTACATATACTTGTACATGTATCTCTATTTAACATGTGTAAGGTAATTAATTTTCTTAACCTTTCCTCCCATTTCAGCAACAAACAAATAATTTTTATTTACACATAAACCAATCGGAGCCTTTAGATCACAGTTATCTAAAAAACGAAGGAACTGTCCGTCCTGGTCTAGGATGTGGATACAGTTGTTATCACGGTCTGCTGTCAGGATCTGACTCTGACTGTCTGTTGTGATACCACAGGGTTTAAATGGAATCTTTTTCATAGGAAGATGACCAGTGTATCTAAGTCGGAGTTTTCCAGCTTTGTTCACAACTACAACAGCACCAGCTCCATAGTCAGCAACACAAATATCCAGGTTTCTGTTCTCACTGATGTACTTAATGGTCATATTTGCTGAATACAGAGGTTTACCCTCTTCATCAAACTGGATTGTTTGTTTCTCTGTGGAGCCTGAGTAACAGACAACCTTGGATTGTGTTGCATCTATACTGCGCATGGTAACCAGGAGGTCCCCAGAGGAATTGACACAAAGATTGCCAGGTATCCAGTCCTGTAGTGTGATCATTTCCTTTGGCTGTCCATTCATAACTTTATTAACCGTCATTTGCTTCCCATCAGAGTATACTAGATCTCCATCCGCTGTCACTACTATATCATTTGGAAATGTTCCTGACTTTTTTGTTATTTTCTTGATATGTGAGCCTTGAATGTTAAAGCATTTCATATCACTGACTTTTCCACTTGTCCAGATTTCTTCTTCACTGACGCAGGTAACATTGCGGAGATTTTTATACCCAGTATCTATAGTAGTGATAAGTTCTGGTTCTTCCAGCAGTTTTCTGGTTGATGTTTCTGGTTTCTTCAGTTTGTAGCCGTTTTCATTTGTTGTGGTAGATAATGGTACAAGAGATCCAAAGAACATGTACATATGTTCTCTATCTAATGGTTTAGCATTTAAAATGGGCAGTGATACGTTCACTTTGAGAGGAAGTTTGCTGAATTCTTTGTTTCTGGAGCTGCATTGCATGCACATGGCCACTTCATTTGATTCTTCTATTTCTTTTAGGTTGAGCAGAGTTTGTTCAATGAGAGTCTGTATTTGTTTTATTTCTTCTGCATGTTTCTTCAAAATGTCAAAGTGTTTTATTTTAAAATCATTAATTTCCTTCTTCATGGCATTGAGGACATTGTCAATTTCTCTGTGCCATTGTTTTCCATGTTCTGTCACGGCTGTTGTAAGTTTCTCATATTCTCCATCCAAGTTAGTCATCTGTGTTTCTAGATCTTTTGTGATATCTTTGTATGTAGGATAAATAATGTTTTGTAATTCCTCTTTATCTTTTGCAATATCTTTTTTCTTGGAGTCGTATACTTCTGCTAGGACTAAGAAATTGTGTCCTTTATGTTGTTCTGATGCAGAGCATAAGGAGCAAACAGGGTAGTTACATTACTTGCACTGTAGATCACATAATTTGGATGGATGTGTTGCACACTTTGGATAGATCAAGGTTGATTTTCTTTGTTGGAATGGGACAATTTTATGTTTGTCATATTCATCAGCAATATGATATCCAATACAGGGCTTACAGAGATTGACATGACAGAAATCACAGTACATCTGTACTATAGCTGTCTCACAAAGGTCACATCTCATCACATCCTGGGCACTGAGGTGGGGATCCATAGCTTCTGTAAATATTTCATAGATATAAAGAATAGTTTTGTCATAAGAATTAATTCAACATTTTTATGAATTAATTGATATTTGGGCTGGTCAATGAATACTCATTAATATTACTTCCTTGTATTTACCTGCAAAACTATGATAAAGGTACATATATATGTAGCATTGTATTTAAAATACAAATTTTTAATGTTGGAATCTATTTGATGAACAACTTTATTGCATATCTAAGACTGAATTATTCGAGTCTCAATTTTAGGCTAAATAAAAGTAAATTTGAAATTACCCTTTGAAAAATTATCATAAAAATATACAAACCGAAAGTACATTTGTAAGAACATTTTTGATAATGAATTTCTAAATATAATTACCGCTGTACATGTAGTCACTAGAAAACTTGTCTCACATTTTTAGAATAACGAAAGTCATTAAACGACAGGTTTTTTTTTCATCTTGTTTACATGTTCTAGACTCTTGATTGTCCTCTTCAGAGTGCAATTTCAGACAGAGTTTGTTAACGTTCTGAAATTAGAGTTATCGCTCTTGCAGTGTTTATTGCGTAGTAACATGAACCACAAGCACTTGACGTTTTTAACCTTTATCTTCATAAATAAAAATTCCATATACTATAATAAATATTATAATATAGTCAAGGCATTTTTTTTATTTATGAAGAGAAAGGTTTCAAAAACGTAAAGTGCCTGTGATATGAACTTTGAGCCCCCCCCCCCCCTTCAGGTCCTGAAAATCAGACAATGAGTAATTAAAAATGGTCACAAAAATGTCTCTAAATTCTCAAAGTTATGTGTATTTACCCATTGTGTTTCTTAAACTTCATCTTTAAAGTTAATCATATTATATCAGAAAAATCAGTAAATCTCAAATAAATTTTCAGGAAACGCAAATAGAACTACCAACAGCATATTTTCTTATAGAAAATTGATTAACTAATATATTTTAGGAGTTAGGATCATAGGTATCCAGGCTTTTGAAGAAAATTGTATAAAATTCATACTTATTCGGTACTTTAGTAACTCCTTTTTCCTAGGATCATTTTTTTATGCAAGGCGTATGAAGTGTTTCCTATTATAGAAAACACAGTAAATCACTTCTCATTTTAAATCATGCTTATAAACATCGGTAACTCAGGCTAGATTAAAGGAATTTCGATTTCTTTAACTATGTCCTTTTTCATACTTTTATGAGGTACAAACATAAACTTTTTTCATATCGTTTTTTAAAACTTCAAAGAACATTGAATCAAATTGAGAGGCATAAAATGAAAATTGTTGCAAGATAGGATTTCAATTTCAAGCGTTAATTTGAAGCATTTTGAATAAAATTATAAATTAAGTTACTTTTCCTGGCTGAGGATCGGATATCTTAAGCAAAATGCCAAAATTGTTGACAAAGTTCAATGTCTGAAGATCATCAAACTCACATTGCCCCCTTCCCAAAATAAAATTGTTTAGCTTTGAGCATTTCAAAAACCTATAATAATTTTATTTACTATCACTTGTAAAAATATTATTATACGACCTTTAAGGTGAACAAATACAGAGTTTTTACAAATGTTTAGGCTAAAGGGGGTGGGGGTGTAAGCCCCTTCAACACCCCTTTATAAGTTTCAAATAAACAAACATATGTAGTAAAGTAACCCATCGACCCCCACCCCACCATAAAAAGAGCAAGAACATTCTCCTCCTCAGAGGAAAGACACGCTTCCTAGTCTAAGTTAATACGAAAAACACTTGAATTATGGACCCTTCTGGGTGATTTTAAAGTCGGAGGTGTTAGGTACAACACATTCAGATTATCAATTATCTTTCCAGTGCACTGTACGTTTTATGAAATACGTATGGCATCACAATATTAATTCACTCAAGTCAAGAGTGACCAACTAAGATCTTTCACCCATTTATGTGAGTTTTACACATTTTATTGTATTGAGATCATGACCATTAAAAACATCGTCTCTTAAAAATTCAAAGGCTATCTTTTCTTCTTTGATTGATCAACGTATAAAGATAAATACAAACAATAACAACAAAATACCCCATTTAGTGTATCACTATCAGTAGCCCCGTGGGGATCCGGGTTAGAATAGGTCCTCAGTACCCCCTTGCTTGTCGTAAAAGGCAACTTAATGGGGTGGTATAAACCGAGGCCCCGTGTCACAGCAGGTGTGGCACGATAAAGATCCTTCCCTGCTCAAAGGCCGTAAGTGCTGAGCATAGACCTACATTTGCAGCCCTTCACCGGCAATGGTGACGTCTCCATATTAGTGAAATATTCTGGAGCTGGACGTTAAACAATATATAATCAATCAATCAATCAATCAATCAGTGGCATTCTGAAATCAGGGTTTGTATTGCTGTCAGACCAAATGAATTTGAAACTTTTCTTAAATTATGTTTGTTCACTGAGTACTCCATTGCAGATAAATTCTGATATTATCCTAATTATAATGTCTCTGGTAAAAAGAATGAAAAATGATGTTTACTGTAGGAAAGAGAATAACAGTAGGATTTTTTTATTATTTTATTTCTGTGCATGATGTCTCTTTGGGAATTTTAATAATTATATCCAGATTTTTGGTGCGGAAGACTTATTTTTAAAGTTGACTGTTAAAGCTGACATGAATTCTTAAAAACGCAACATTTTCATCTATGTACGACTTGTTTCATACCAACTATAGCCGTATTCCGCCATATTTCTTTCAGATACCTTGTCTCATTGTAACGATATATACCCAAAAGCGCTCGTTACAGTTGAATGATTTTTTGGTTTGGGTATCGACTTGTGCACATCTCCGATGGTAAAGCATATGAGAACACATGAGGAGATCAAGACATTTCAAAACCACAATAAACAACATAATAATCATATTTCTGAATAATTATTGATTTGAATCAAAAGAAAAAATGCAAGTTTGGTGAGAAATTTAGATGCACGTCACGCATACGTTTTTTTTCAGGGCGCCAATTTATGCAGAATAAACTTGAAATAAAAAGCAGTAAAATCTGCAGACACATTTTGAAATTATATCATTTGAATGGAACAAAACAACCAACGTCTTTGATTTGCAGCCCCTTGCAATTGGTGCATATCGAGAAAACGCCTCGAACGCTATAAACGTACCCATACCTGGTAATAAGGTTACTGCATCCGTTCGAAGATGTGCACAAGTCAAGTGATATACACCCTGAATTCCATTTATTGAAATATGCATCACAAAAAAGAAATAAACTCCGTAAAAGCTCAAAAGTAAACACACTGTCATTACTCCGTACAGACTAGCAGGCCGATACACTTAGTCCGTGCTGATCAGATTTTGGTCAGGGAAAATATCACAAGTGGAAAGATAAGTTATTTGGTATTTGCACGGCTGAAGGGGGGGGGGGTGTATTATAACTGCTGTTCATAAGCTATAATTGTGAATTGTCTATCTAAATGTAGTTCTAATATACATTCTATACAAAGTCATGTATATAGTCTGCAGTTGGTTTGCGTCGCAAAATTCATTTGTCAATTATAACTGATTATTTTAGTACTAATCTCAAATCTAAACCAAGTAATTTGATGTACGGTAATTATTTACTTCAAATCTTAAAAGCAGTTAACCAGAATACAATTTGTTTTATGTGTACATAGATCTATACGTTATTCAACAGACAAACACAGGAAGAAATGCCATCCCCTGTTCAGATTGACATCTAGGCATTTGATTTTTAGGCGGGGGGGGGGGGGGGCGTGCAAAAATAATTGACATGACCGTTATCTAAATATTCTTGGAAGACAGACATCTCTGCCGAATTCAATTTTGAATTTTTTTTAAATGTGTCACTCCGACCACAAAGTATGTGCATTTTGAGGAATGTATAAATGTTTTATAATTATGTTGTTATAGAGATTCTATCGAGATTTCAGTATCCCTGCCTGATAGTCTCGCTATTTTTTTTTTTTTATATTTATATAAATAATTTCTGTAGGAGTATTTGGGAGATAATTTTAAAAGCTAGGGTAGGGATTCTTGACACTGGTTGAATACGGATAATTTTTATTTACTCTTTTGTATACTGAACTAACTCTCTCTCTCTCTCTCCCTCTCTCTCACTCTGTAACCATCCCTTAGGGCAATAATAGGTATAAGATCCTACGCACTTTCTGCTGTACCATTTATTAAGCCTTAGGACAGATCAAGGATTTTTTTTTGCAGGCGGGATGTCGAAACTTCATAAATTGAATAATAATTTAAATTTGGACAAGAAGTTAACCCAAACGGCCAAATTGAAAGAGAAACTAGAGGTATTGTGAGCAATGAGCTCACTAAATGATACCCCCGCCTCCCATATGGTTATAATGGCAAAGTCCATATTTTGCTGTTGTCGCTAAACCCAAAATACGTGTTGGATCAAAAAGTAAAATAGGAGGTGCACAATGGTAATATGTAATAAACCTAAGATTCTGTGAAAGTTTTAGTAAATTTCACTAAGTGGTATAAGAGGATTTGCGGATAAGAGATGGGTACCCCAAAGCGTAACAGACCGACGGACGGACATAACTATAACTATATACCCTCCCACTTTTCAAGCGGGGGATATAATAAACGTGAAATATACATCACAGGAATGGGTACATTGGGAACTTTCTCAAATACCTTCTCAAACGCATTGGCATCGGAAGCAAATTGAAAGTGTGTGTGTGTGGGGGGGGGGGGGGGGGGGCTAAGTGCAAAAATTTTTTTTATACGTTCAAAAAATCTGAGAAGCTTTAAAAAAAGGGGAAATGTCCTTTTCCAAAACACGAATATCATATTTCGTGTAGGGAAAGGGGGGAGGTAGGTTCGAACTTCAGTAACAAATTTTTTCTCCAAACACCAACACTTTCCTCTTTGTTAACCTATACTGCGACTTGTCTGTGGAAAGTGTGTGGGGGGGGGGGGGGGGGGGGGGCTAAACCTACGCAGCAATGTTCAGTGTCTATAATAAGCATATATTTGTAAAAAAAAAAAAAAAAAAAAAAAAAACTATCCCCCGGTTCCGACACCTATGCTCAACCGTACGAGTCGAACCTGAACCTGGGCAACAGACAAGAGAATTTTTAAAAAGCTAATTGTAGGTAGAATGTTGAATT